AAAAAAAAAAAAAAAAAAAAAAAAAAAAAAAAAGACAACTCAATTTAAAAATAGGCAAAATATTTGAATATATATGTCATCAAAGAACATGTATATATATATATTAGTAGCAAATAAGTCTGTGAAAAGATGGTTAACAATATTCATCATTAGGGTAATGCAAATTAAAATAACAATGACATACCTATTAGAATGGCTAAAATAAATAAGATTGACAATACCAAGTCTTGGTAAGAATATCAAAAAACTGAAACTTCATACATTGTGGGAATACAAAATGGTAAAAATTTTTATCACATGACCCAGGAATTCCTAGAAATCTATCCAAAAGTAATAAAACAGATGTCCACACTAACACTTACATGCAAATGTTTATAATAGCCCAAACTGGAAAAAAAGTCCATTAACCAGCAAAGATATTTTAAAATATGATATATCTATAAAATGGAATATATCAATACAAAGAAATTAACTACTGATATATGCACAACGTGGATGAATCTCAAAACACATCATGCTAGGTGAAAGAAGACAGGCATCAAAAGACTACATATTGTATGATTCCATTAATATAAAATTTCTAGAAAAGTAGAACTATAGAGACAGAATCAGTGATTGCCTGGAGCCAGCAGTGGAAGCAGAGGCTGGCTATAGAGAGGCACAAGGGAACTTTTTGTACTCATGTGAGAGTTCCAAAGCTGAACTGTAGTGGTAGTTACATAACTGTGTACACTTACTAAACTCTTTGAATTGTATACTTTAAAAAGTTGAATTTTATGGTATATAGATTGTACCTCAATGAATCTGTTTTAAAAGAAAAATTACTGAAAGAAAAGTTGTAGTATGAATGTACTTTCTATTCACTTCTGTGTGTCCCTGGGGTTGGGGGAGCACATACAACCACAGACACCTGCCACATTTAAAGGTTTGGCATTTCCTTCAATATCTTTCAGAGCAAGCTTAGTCTTCATCTCTCACTTAAATCACAGAAACTTTGCGAGAATCTTTAAAAATTCTTGGGGTAAAAGTAAAATGCAACATATTCCATAAGACTGTGATACAATAATATTTTCTGTATAATACACCATTTTCTGAGTGCCTACTATAAGCCAGAGACTATTCTAGGCATTTTACATACATAATTACAATCATTTATTCATAATTTCAAAATTACAAATGAAGAAACCAAGGCTCAGAAAGGTTAAACTGGTAAGGTCCCATAATCAACAATGTGATTGATAAAGTACTGGAAAACCTGGTCAGGTTCCAAAGCTTACATATTCTTTCAACTCCCCTGCATTGTTTCCAGTATATATACAGTCTAAAATTTCAATAATAATGAGATTGTAATAAAGATCTGGAAGATAGGACTAATTGTTAGCATGAAAAAAAAGGAATGTCACCTAAAAAAATACAACAATTTTCCTTTTTTATAAGTAAAGTAAAAACACAATGCCTCCCAAGTAGCTGGGATTACAGATGTCAACCACCACGCCCAGCTAATTTTTGTATTTTTAATAGAGATAGGGTTTCACCATGTTGGTCAGGCTGGTCTCAAACTCCTGACCTCAGGTGATCTGCCTGCCTCGGCCTCCCAAAGTGCTGGGATTATTGGCGTGAGCCACCGCACCCAGCCAAGATTTTACTTTTAAATACTGAGAATAAAGCTCCCTGATTCCAAACTTCTGTGAAACTTAAAAGGCAAAAAGGAAAAGCCATATTAATGTCTCAAAAAGATACTGAACCCAGATAATAAAGGACACTAAAGAGTTCACTAAAGAGGATACCAAAGAGTTGTTTGTAAGCACAAATTTAATGTGCTTTTAAGTTTTAAAGTTTTCATATTCTTAATATTATGTGAAGATTTCCTTCGAAAGATAAAGGACATAATTTCAAAATCTTGTTTCTATTAATCCCAAATTCACTTCTAACCTTCACTTATAATTTTGAATTATCATATATATATTAATCTAACTTAAATTCTGCATAAGAGAAACTATTATTTTATATATCAACTCAACAAAATTTCATAAAGTATATACAGGGATTCATGAGCTATTATGTCACTTTCAGTTAGTCTGTCATCTACAGGTTTGTCCAGAAGAGCAAGGGTTAATGATTATACACCAACACATGAAAGATGCTTTGAGCAAAGGCTCATGACAGACAGAGTAGATGATTACTATCTTACCAATCTGTTTATGTGAACAAATTCTTCTGAGGTTTTGGCCCAAGGAGGAAGTTCGACATCAGACACTACTGTCCCATCATCCATCACTCCAAGATTATAATTATTGAAGTTGACAAACATCTCTGGGAGATAATAAAATTCAGGGATCAACTCCTACATAAAAATAAAAGACAACGTGATATAAATGGTAGGATATTGACTAGATATTCAAAAAAAGGACCTGATCATTTTCTGTTGTTCAGAAGAACAAAATAAACACAGTGAAATTTTTTTTTCATTGAATATCATAGCCCTGTCACAGCTTCTCATAAGGCAGAGAGATCCTATCCAACCCAATTTAAATAACATCTTACTTGTATAAATACATCTCATAGGCTTTCCTTCATGACATGTCTCATAACCTCAAAACTCTTAAACAGAAATATTTGAGTAATAACTAAGGTTTGACAAGATATAAACAGAAATTACCATGCTGTAACAATAATGACAACCTAACTTGATTTTTTTATGAGGTATATGGAATTTTTGCCAGAAAACCCCAAAATCTTTATAAGCATTAAAATGCCACTGCCTTGGTCTCTTCATAAACCAGAAAGATAATTTATTACATCTTAGCCATGGTTTATCAGTACATTTTCCTCACTCTTCAAAACAGTTAAGTTTAAAGATACCAACTCTGACGAAAGATCAAAATTTATAATTGGTCTAGAAAATGACTTGCATAAGAAACTGAGTAAATACAATATGTGACTTTAGTAACAACATTTAATAAGCAGAAAAATGCAGCTGTTTAGCCCTTTGTGTGTAATAAACCCCATATATAACTATTTCAGAGGCTCTGAAGATCAGACTTAAAATCCAGTCTTGACATGGGTCAGTGGTTCAGTGGTCTTTCAGATACCCCCTCAGGGCCAGCTATGGCAGGCCTGGCTTTCCAAACAGTTGAGTAAAATAGGGAGGTCATCAGATTTTGGACAAGGTCAGTATGAACTTGCCAGAACAGGGGGAAAAAAATCCAGCAGGAATTAAGCTATTATCACCTCCATCATCCATGTGAAATGTTGTCTGACTTTGAATTGTACATCCTTTGTTTACAATCACAATAATTAACTAAGCAGGGCAGAAATGAGCTTGTTCTCCCTCCAAACGGCTGACAACCACCTCACCATTAGACTTAAAAAGCATTTAAACTGAACATTTTTTTAAAAAAAGATCTTGTTTAAAGCTCAGCTATAAATACAATCAGACTATAATCACACAAAAATTTTAAGATTCTCATCTTCAAAAACAAGGCATATAATTCTAATTGACAAAAGGGGAAAAGACAGATGTGTGTTATTTTCTGCAGCAAAAAGCCATATCCAATTTGTTTGAGCGAATGCTTATTGTACGGTATGAGTCATACTCTCATACCATAAATGAATAAACTCTTAATAAACCATATTACATTTAACCTCACAAACACTTTCCAAGGTAAGGTATCAATCATTTCCACTTAAAAAATGAACTAAGGCTCAAAAAAGTACTTTGTCCAAGGTTAACAGTTGATATATTATAAATATGGAAGTTGGATCAGGACTTGTTTAACTAGAAAGCCTTTGTCCTTAGTCATCAAATAAGCCTGGGTTCTACTTATAGAGTATATACGGTGCTAAATATATTAAATATAAGTTTTTAACATATATACAAAGTGATTTTTTTAAAAAAAGAAAAAAAACCTCTAAACTTTTAGCACATTCACAATGAGAAAACAACTGGTTCTCCTGAATAACTATACCTTTCATATATATAGGATATTTATCTCTCTTCATATAGCAATTGTTATATAAATAAAATTAATCCAAAGAGAATTTTTGTAATGTTGTGATTTATCCCAATAAATCACTTTAAAATTTTCTAGTGTTAATTTGCTGAAGTGTATATTCAATTAATTTCCAACTTTGACATATTTTACCAAAATATCTTATTTTCACTTCATAATACTTGTGCTACTGAAGATGAATGTTACTATTGTCAGGCTTTGTTTTACAAGAGGGAGGAACATGCTTTCCTTGTTCATTGACAATCAAAAGCAGCATTTGCTACTTAAATACAAATTATTCTCATTTCAGTAATACCCGCTGTCCACTACCGCGCCCATCGACATCCTATAATGATTAGAAGATACTGATTGTCCCTCTTTTGCCGGTTATACCCACAATGCTCTTGTTTTATAATTCTCCTAGATTCAAAAGAAAATAATTTTAATGCCTGAATTTTAAGTGCTAGTTTTCTTCAGAGTTTTAAAATTTGGGAGATTGGTCACTTCTATCGTAAATCAGAGATGCATATACATAGTAAAAATATACAAAAATAGTACTCTTAGCAACACGAATTTGAGAAAGCAGAAGGAAAAAATGACATTTCACAGCAATTGCCACAAAAATGAAGTTTTCAATCTTTCTAATATATAGCACCAAGATATTATGATTTTGTATATTTGTCCATATCTTCTACATCTATTATTTTATTCAGGTTACTCAACAAATTGACAAAAAATTTATTTGCTGAAAACAAATATTCTCCACAAGTTCTGTTTTTTTCATTCTCCTGGTTGAGACAGGGTCTCTCTCACTCTGTCACCTAGGCTGGAGTAAAGTAGTGGCACAATCATAGCTCACTAAAACCTCAAACTCCACTCAATCTTTCCACCTCAGCTTCCCAAGTAGCAAGGACTATAGGAATATACCACCATGTCTGGCTAATTTTTAAATATTTTGCAGTGACGGAGTCTGACTATGTTGCCTAGGTTGGTCTTAAGCTACTGGCTTCAAGCTCCTCCGAAAAACATATTTTGTTCCTGGCCCAGTTTATTTTTAAATACAAATTTATTATGAATTATTATGTTACCTTAATATTGACACCTTAACCTAAATATAAATTCAATTAATTTAACTAGAAATTAAATGGAGCCAAACAACCCATAAAACAAACCATAATTTTTTAATAAGTGATATGAAGAAAGCAATTTCAAACTTTCAAGTCTTTCAGCTACATAATTTCTATCATGCTGGGAAGGAGGTAGTAACTCATCAGTTTCCATTTAATTACTATGGATTTTATCTGTGATTTCCTAAGGAAACATTTTATGTAAATTTTGTGCAACAAGCATTGTAAACATATTTCAAAATTAAAAATCTAAACGATAAAAATTAAAAAATTAAGCTTTCAACATTTCACTTGAAATTTATCAAGATATGAATTTGCATTTCACTCTATTTTTTCTCCTCTCACTTCCTTCACCTAAATTTTAAGAAAGTAGTCAGGCATTTCCTATTTCGAGAACATTTGCAAGGTCCAGAGCAGAGGCCTCTTGAAAGCATCTTCTTTTCTTGTGTGAAACTCTAAGCAAACAGAGAGTATATGATGTATTCAGGTGAAGGAAGAGTCAAATGTTAGTATTTTTAGACAGAGAAGCCAAAGAAGAAAGAGGCATAATTTTTTTACAGAGTAGGTAAGCAAGTTTCCAAAATCTACAGTTAGCTTTTTTTTTTTTTTTTTTAACCCGGCCTGGGGGAAAGGAGAAGAGATGAAGAGGTTAGGCAGGAACCCAGAGGATAGGGAATGGTGAGAAGGTGACTATATCCCCATACAGTTCCTCTATGTGAATTAGAAAAAGGCAACACTTCTAGGCTAATGCAGCCCTAAGAGAATTCAGTTTGGGAAATGGAGCAAGTACAGGCTGGATTTTAGCTTCCATTCTTTCTCTCAATCAAGTGCCCTTTCATGAAAAACAATCTGCCTCCTGTACATGTGGCCCCATGCATGGTGCATACAGGGAAGCTAGTCTGTTGGCATCAGGGCTTTTGGTATCAGCAAATATTTTCTACCACTAAATTGGTATAATCAGCAGAGCTGCTTGCCTCCAAAAGATCATGTGTATCTTAGACAATAAAAATATGACTAATGAAGATGATGATGGACTAAAGATGTGAAGGCCAATTTTCTAGGTATACATAAGCCTGGATTCTCATTTAAGCCTTGAGAAAAGAAGGTCCCTGCCCCACCCATCTAATAACTATGAAGGAATTTCTCACCAGCTTAATATGAGGAAGGGCTGAGTTCAAATTAGGATATTTCTTGTACACTTGAGTTGGTGGTTATAATTTTATCTCTATTTCAATAATAGTAAAAAGTTAGCAATATATTAACTGATAACGTATTTCTTTCTTTCTTTTTTTTTTTTAAGATGGAATGGTAGTAACTCATCAGTTTCCATTTAATTACTATGGATTTTATCTGTGATTTCCTAAGGAAATCTGTCACCCAGGCTAGAGTGCACTGGTATGATCTTGGTCCACTACAACCAGTGCCTCCTGGGTTTAAGTGATTCTCGTGCTTCAGCCTCCTGAGTAGCTGAGATTACAGGCACTCACCACCATACCTGGCTAATTTTTAGTAGAGATGAGGTTTCACCATGTTGGCCAGGCTGGTGTCAAACTCTTAACCTCAGGTGATGCGCCCACCTTGGCCTCCCAAAGTGCTGGGATTACAAGAATGAGACTCCAAGCCCGGCCATGACAGTATATTTCTAGTCCAGGCACCATGGCTCAGGCCTGTAATCCCACCACTTTGGGAGGCCAAAAGAGAAGGATGGCTTATTTCCAGGAGTTCACAACCAGCCTGAGCAACATGGGAAGACCTGTCTCTATAAAAAAAATTAAAAAATTTAGCTGGGTATGGTGGCATGGACCTGTGCCTGTAGTCCCAGCTATTCGAGAGGCTGATGTGGGAAGACTGCTTGAGCCCAGGAGGCTGCAGTGAGCCGTGTTCACACTACTGCACTCCAGCCTAGGTGACAGTGCAAGACCCCATCTCAAAAAAAAAAATACACATATATAATACATATATAAATACATATAAGCATATAACATATAAATATATGTATACATTTATTTATGTATATACTAACATATATAAATATATATATATACACACACAAAATGCAGAAAGAATTCAGTATGGGCAGAAATACAAATAGAATGTAAATGTTATTTTTTATTAAAAGAATCAAACTTATAAAAACCCCTCTTAATTATATGATTCAAACCTTACGTAGAAATGAAGGGTGATGTATCACATTATTATCACAAAAAAGAAACCACATTTATTTA